CTGGCAGGTCCGTTGGTATCAGTCTTATCTGGAAGGAGCAAATTGCTGACTCCAGGGCTAGACTAGGGAAGTGGTAAAGTAAACCAAGCAAAATTCAACAAGCTCACCAATTATGGACAAAAGTCAAAAGCATGGCCATCGATGAGCTACCAGGAAATCGGGCCTTCAAGATCGAGCCGGAACCAACCCAAAGGTTCCCAGAACACTTGAAATTTAGCAGCGAGCTATGGGTGGTAGGCCAGTTTGGAGCTGGCCTATCAGTTTTGCAGTTCCACTTTATCAATGGCGCATTTGACAAGAAAGAAAGGAAGAAACAAAGGCGTTTTCACACTTCCTCATCATCTTCTTGCTTCCTGTCTGTTGTTATTTCTTGGCACCTCCTGATTATGGAAACTTGTTCTACGATCATTCACAAAGCAAATGGGCAATAGAGCAATCGTATGGGGCTAATTCGTATTTCCAACAGGAATGCCATTATGCCAATGGAGAAGCTGGGCCATTCACTGGTCTCGCTTATGTTTTTGCTTTGCAAGCCGGCAGTATCTTCGGGGTAAGAAAGCTTTTGACTGATTAGAAAATGGAAGCAAAAATTGGGACAACTAGCAAAGGAAGAAAAAACAAGGATTATCATCATGACGTACTGGCTGGCCCTTTCTGTCATTTCGGAAAAACGATTCGCAGAAAGAGAAAACTTGGAAGAAAGTGAGGGGCGGAACTGGAAAGNGCTAATTCGTATTTCCAACAGGAATGCCATTATGCCAATGGAGAAGCTGGGCCATTCACTGGTCTCGCTTATGTTTTTGCTTTGCAAGTCGGCAGTAATCTCTAGGAAGAAAGCTTTTGACTGATTAGAAAATTGAAGTAAAAACTGGAACAACTAGCAAAGGAAGAAAAACAAGGATTATAATCATGACGTACTGGCTGGCCCTTTCTGTCATTTCGGAAAAACGATTCGCAGAAAGAGAAAACTTGGAAGAAAGAGAGGGGCGGAACTGGAAAGTTACATTACCAGCCGCTAAGTGGTCCCCTCGGAGTCCCCTAAGCATCCAAACTCTACCCGGAATCACAATTTACAGCTTATATGTATATTCGCTCTACAGGACCACGGATTAAAACTGATTAAGTCAACCCCTTGTGGCCTTCCAGAAGCCGACAAAAGCGATTTCTTGATCCAGGAGGTAGGTAGGGCCTGACTGAATTCAATAGATAAAGGTATAGGACTAGACCTACTGGTAAGCACGGGCTGTACATACATGCGGGAACTATGATGTTTGCCATTTTTCCCTTGGCCCATCGGAAATTCAAGGAATTATAGGAAAAAGTTGGGTATGCTACTTAAATGTACGTGCAAGGCTGTGCGCCATTACTGTCCGGTACTAAAAAGGGAAACGGAATTGCAAGAATTCGAATACTTCTAGTTTTTCTGGAATTCCCACAGATTGACTCCATTACTGATTACTAATGAATTCTTGTTCTCCAGCCGGTAACTAGTTAAAGTAAAGCTACTTTATGACAAAGTAATCTCTGGGAAAAAGCGCTCTTCACTGAGTAGTAGTAGGGAAGTCCTTACCCGGAAAGTCTAGAACCAAACAGAATGACAAACTAGAGACCAGAGACGACAGAATGACAACGAGATTTTTAAATGACAACTAATTTAACATTTAAAAAATTGTCATTATATAGAAATAGCAAGCGCTATCTGTTTCATACAGCGCTTGGCGATCATCAGTCCTCTGTGGGATGCGCCATGCATTTGACATGGGATAGTACAAAAGGATGAACTCTTTGGCCCGAATCAATCCCGTTAGAAGGGTGCAAAGCCATGTACGACTCTTGCTGTTTCCCTCACAGACCAGTCCGGTACTAGTAAACCGATCTCGAGGTTGTGGAGGGTGTCATTGGCCTGGGCAAGTATCGGTCTGGGGTTTGATTTGGATCATACGTAAATGATCCTACGTGAATTGTCAGTACACCACTTTCTTCTTAAGTGAAACAGTAGAGGGACACTTGTTCTTGGGACCTGTGAGCGGTGAAAAAATTGCCTTTTGATCATCCCGCAGGGATCTCATCTCCCTACCATTCCTCGCCATCCCTTTCCTACCATTCCTTATCATTCCATACCATTTGCTACCACTCTCGCTATTTCACCAATATTCTATCTTCAATGGACTTTTCAACAAATATCCAAAGAGTTACACAATTTGCGCTCAAATGCAGCGATTATGACAGGGATTCAAGTTCATGGCGTGAACTACAGTCACACTGATCGAGCGATTAATTCGTCATTAATTCTATGTCCTACACAAGACTATATGTCAGGAACGAACTCCACCCTTCTGATATCAAATGATTCGACTTTGAGAGGGCTTGGAGTTGCTCGGCTGAGAACCGGATTAGTTTACCATTAACAAAAACTTAGCAATCGATCTAATTGGAAGTGCGAACTGAAATCTTTCAAACCAAAGGGCAGCAGCAATGATCGCCGTTCAATGAATGAAAACGCTGTAGGAGAAATTTGAAAAAAGTCAAAGAGATGCCATAAAAGGCCTCACAGTAACCAAGAATTTCCCAAAAATTCACCTTAAGACCGAGCAATGGACGATCTTCGCGACTGTGGCCAATAAGCCGTAATGAGACGAATTCCGGATTCATTTTGGCCACTCCTCGTACATACTCCTCGATCTCGGGGAAATCATTGTAACGAGTGAGATCGAAGAATGGCGTCTCACCTCCGACAGCTATCCGTACGCTGAAATCATCAAGGAAAATATGACTTGTCGCCAAGTGGACGAGTTGTCCGTCGACAGATTCAAAGAAGAAGATGAAAGAAAAATGTGACATACAAGACGAGAACAGCCAACAGTCGTCGCATGTCGAGTGAGCGACGAAACGCTTGGCCGTCTTCGCACGGGGGTGTTGCCTAATAGGGCGGAACGCCACCCGCTATCCCCGCCAACCCAAACGATATTCCCCTTTTGGAGAGGAAACCATCGTAAAAGCCTCGTCAGAGGAAAAGTTGATGCCATAACTTGTTCTCGGTTTCGGATCAGATACAACATGTTCCAGAACTCCCATTTGGTCCGGACAAACATGGGGTAAAAGGTGGGTGTGTTAGTTCAGCGGGAAGAGGCGCAGCTAATGCACCCACGACCACCAGATCTGAACTCTTGTGATATAATCAACTGGTCAGTTCCCCTAGGGGCAGTTGGTTGAAGCCAAGTGGCCTTAGGGGGAAATAATCGCCTAGCCAACTGGTCTCAAAGGAGAAAACTTGGTTTTTTGCAACAAAACTCATAATCAGTGTAAATAAGTATAAACAGGTATTGTATGTGATCATATGTTATAAATATGTTTACATAAATAGAATGACCCCCTTATGGATCGATATAAGGTCAATATTTCCTAGAAAATTGGAAAATTCTTCAATCAAAATGAATGAGACCGGCGACCACCTGTAGAGTGAATGACGCCGGTAATTCAAGTAAAAGGGAAGACCAAATAAAACGTCGCCACCTGTTACTGAGAATACAGAACCGGTTATAATTTAAATAATGTCATTTTTGATATTTCTACTCTGATTACGTTGTGTAATGGATAAGGGTGGCGCCTGAAAGTGCCAGAGGTAGGTTCGAGTACCTTCAGGGACCGGAAATCTCGTCCAGAAGTTGATCGCTACTGTAATGATTTCCGTTCGCATGGTGATTAGCAGCCCGAAAAAAAGTGTCCCTTGAACTCTGACTTCGCATAGTTGTGATTGATAACTCTTCGTATAAGAATAATATGTCTTCATCTAGCAAAAAAAGGACCGAAGTGAAACTGGTCGCAATCAAGGAATTATATTCATTTCATTAGGGTTAAGGCCATAAGAGAAACGACCCTTCTGAACGACCTCCCAAGGCCGTGGGCACAAAAAACGCGGAGTGCACATATGGAGGGCATCTGTTTGCAGGAAAGTCGCGTACCTAACAGCATAGATCGTTTGTATTATGAAGCGAGGAGTAGTAGCGAAAGATGATGAAAAAGGGGCGTGACAAGGACCGATGGCACTCGCATGGGTCCGCCTCCTAAGTATGCCCCCTCCTTGATATGCGGCTTTCAGGTTATACCTGCTCGTCTTCGAAGTGACAACCTTAAACGCACCGTTAGCAATAAATTTAGGGTACCCTTTTTTGATGGGAATTGATAGAACTACTCTAGTATAAAGCGATAACAACGAAAAAAACGCAAAAAAAAACG